ACTCCACGATCGGCATTTCACTCGTCCTCGATAACTGAACTTTCTCCCCCGCTGTCTTTACCTGACTCGTCAGACGAGATGATAATTACCTCGTTTTGTGGGACGTACGCCAGCCCATCTTCGTCCTCGGACTCCCCTTCGTAGGCAGCATCGATCGCGAACACCGCATCAAGCACATCGTTCTGTGACAAACCATCGTCACTCCCGACATCTTCCAAGTTTGGAAAGGGAATAGGGAAAATGACTCTCCTACCCACACGAAGCTCAATTTCCTCATCGTCTGAAGAAATGTAGATTGAAAATAATGGAAAGGAACCGGAACCGACAACGGCTCATTCATGTTGAACGGTTCAGTGCTTCCTGTGGACGAATTCATTATTTTGATGTAGTAAAGTATTGATGAAATGAATTGAGAGACACAAATTCTCACAATACTATTCCACTAAGTTGTCTAGGAGTGAGAATATAGTGACACTGTATTTATAAGCAAGTTGAAGAGGAAAAGCAATTATGGTCATCATCTACCCAACAACCAAGTCCAATCTCCTTGTTAATTTGAAAAGCAATTGGTGTGATGGTTCAATAAATTTCTAGTTCCTTTATCCCCCATTTCCCCATAATTAGTAGGACATTTAACACTCTTTATTATCTTTGTACAATTCATTAAATCTACATTCGTACTGTTGAAATGTCCCTGTGCAAAATAATCTCTGCAATTGTACCATTGTTGTAATTGTAGTACTTCACAAAAATAGGATTAGATTATATTCACGCACATGTTACAAGACGAATGAAACAAAAACTAAATAGACATTAACTCCGTTGTGTAGCAGTTGCACCACGATTGTCATGCTTTGGGCACTTTTTTATTGGCTTATGATGTTAACCATGTTTAGGGTTACAAAGGCATATGCACATTACAAAAGAAGTCAATAAATTTGGAAATAAATGCAGACGTATGCCGTAGTAATGCGAGTCAAGTCCCTTCGTTGCAAACAAAGAGTTGTTGTACATAAATTTCAAATATACTTAACAGTTTCGACTAAATGCCACAAAAAATGTTTGAAGTAGATGGTACTATTACACAATACGGAAAAATATCAAATTCATCCCTGCGGGCCGTTGATAGAATATATGTCCATACAACACCTAGTAATGCTATCACATTCTTCGTCGCATCCCATGGAAGTGCACCAGAGCCTCGTTTCTTGTACCCAACTTCGTCTACACGAGCTCATATCTCTGCAACCTACGTTAAAAAATGTACCCTGAATTATAAATTTGAAACAAAATTATCTTTGAATTGCATGTGATCCTTAAGTTATGGAAAATTTCAGCTGCTAATAATTGCCATGAATTACAAGTATGACGAACCATATTTTTGAATTGCATGTGATCCTAAACTTATGGTACATTAACGTAGCTGAAATATGCCGTACATTTCGAATAACATTTTCTTATCTTTGAATTGCATGTGATCCTAAGCTTATGGTTACATTAACTGGGTTGCAAAAATTATGCCATAACTGACACATATAAAGAATTATATATATGAATTGCATGTGATCCTAGGAGTCCACTGAATTTATATTGCAACAATATGCCATGCATTCAGATTGCAACAAGTTGTTAGGTTTTTTCACAATGTAAACGTTATAACGACATTTTTTTTGTTTTGTAATTATAGTACTAGAACGTTGAATAGATAACATCCAGCATGAAAGAGTGCTAAGTATAACATAGGATTTAACGTAAATTACATATAAAAACACCACATATGTCTAACCCACTTGAAAATGAAAGAAAGTGTTACGAATCCTCACCTGATATATACAAATGGGAGGCTTGGAATAGAACAGCTATGAATGTGTTCGGAATATAACCACACCACCGAAGTTAGAAACACACATCGATAATTATTCCCTTAAGCAAAATATCTGACACGAAAGAGTGTTGAGAAATGTCAGCAACACTATGATGATCATTATTAACATAGAAGTAGATGATACGGAAAAAATGAAAAGAAGAAGCAGATGATACGGAAAAAATGAAAAGGAGCTACGGATTCGTAGCCATTCAAGTTACCATACTTATTATCAAAAATAGGAAACAAATTTAAGTAAGTGAGCATAAATGGATAGTCAACATAAGACAGTCAAGGACATGTATGCAAGTGATTTGAACGAAACAATTGTAGAGGTCAAAGTAGGTACAAAACAGTATCATACACCTTAACTATTTGACGAACACTTAAGACAATCAATGACGTCATTTTGTACATCTCAACATAGTCAACAGTATTTGAGACAATCAATGAAATGAAAGAAAATAAATATTTATCCATCCTCGTATCCCATTAAATTGAGCAACCCAAATGAAATCATCAGAAACCAAATCTTCTTTACAACGTATATTACATTAATTGACTTTTGCAGTCACGGGAATTGGCTACACCAAATATTCCCATGTATGTATGAAGTTATACATCGACATTCCATGAATATTAAATTTAATTAGATAGATACAAAATTCCACAAGCACGAGATGTTTCGATGTTCGTGTCGTCTGTCCAATACAAACAAAAGCTCAGCCACAATAACCACTAATATTTTTTTATAAGTGATGAGTATAGTAGAAGTAGGTGGTACATATAAATCACACGAAATACATCGATAAAAATTAATTTAATGTTTTTAAATACTTTCTATACATGTAACTATCAAGTTAAGATTCATAGATTGTATAAATCAAAATAAGTGGACTTATAAATTGAATAAATTGGACAATTTTTTAATTTGTAACTTATTAGTTATGAGATCCACGATTACATGGATTTTGACGATATGTATGTGAGGCCCAACTGATAAGTTGACAATTTAGAGTTTTTTCGAACAAGATCTTTGACGAATCAGTCAGCACAACTAATTTATTATTAAAAATAATTTACAATTCAAAGTAAACCCCACACGCAACCTCAGACTCAGAACAACCGGCTCCTCTCCACAACGCTGTTCTCACAATTCAAGGATGCGTCTCTCCCTCTCCCCCCCCCCTCTCCATAAGCAAGCTGTCCCTCTTTGTACTTGTGTTCGATGTGCGAAATATAAATAAGTGAAGCCTCTTATATATCGAAACAAAGAATCAGAAAAAATAAATTTAGAACGAATATTTCACATTTGCAAGACTATAGCATTTGAGCTGTGTGCAGACATAATATTCGTGGTAAACCACTGTCTAATAAAATGAACTTCAGGAGAGAAATGATGAATTCTAAACCTAGGAGGATTGCTCTCTTTGTTGAGCCTTATCCCTTCGCGTGAGTCTTTGATTTTGACTATTTTCATTTGCACATTTCTGGCACGTTTGGTGAGCGGGATTGAAGAAGGAAAAGATGCTCAAATATGATTTATCATAATGTCTAGTCCCGTCTAATATTGCATGTGTCAAGCACCTAGTTCGTGTTTAAGACCTCTTGTAGTGTTCTTGCGGGCATGACTGTCTGATCTTTTAGTTGTTTGAGTTTTTTTTTTTTTTTTTAATAGTGCTTGCTTCTTTCTTTTTGATGAATGCACCTTGACCTGAGTTAACTATGAAGCTAATTGTCTTTGCTTTGATTTTACATATGGAGAGAAAGGGAACATGAGTATCAGTTGGAGGATTTTGGTGCAAAATGCATTATTAACATGATTCTTTTACTTAATTTTCATTCGTATTTAATTGTATTTATGCTTTGAGCCAGCTGTTACTGACTTAGAATTAATTAGAGGTCCTTTAGGACAATAATTTCTTGACATTAACTTATAGTTGTTAACAGCCGAAGTTGAAAGGGTTTGTTCCTTTAGGATAGTTGGCATCTTCAACACTTTGATAATAATGGTTTGTGTATATATTAAGCTACTACGAAACATACTTACAATAAAATAATTTAAATTTTTCTATGAGGTGCCACATTTTATTATTTAACATGGAAATCTTTTTCATTTCAATCTTTCCTAAGAATTTTTTTGTAGTTTTCTTGAAGTTGGATGCTTATGACTTGATTATGTATTAGGTTTTCGTTTGGGCTGTGTGCTAATGTTTATGCTGTAAACTAAATTAATCATCTTTTCAAAAAGCTATTTACATAATTTTTTTTTCTATATTCAATTGTCAAACTGTCTATAGTTCATTGTTATGGTACACAAACACTGGAAATTGAATATTGCATTTTCATTACAATCTTCATAATGGTTTTCGAAACGTCAATAAATAATCCCCAATTCAGCCCACTACACTTAACAAATTGTTGGATGCAAAATAATAAAGGACAAAGAATATTAAAATCTGAAAGCATATTACAATCTTCATAATAGTTTTCGAAACTTCAATAAATTATCCCCAATTCAGCCCACTACACTTGACAAATTGTTGGATGCAAAATAAAAAAGGAGAAAGAATATTAAAATCTCAAAGCATATTACATGCAACTTACCGGTACAGTAGGGCAACGCAGGCAGCGGCGTGGATGGCGAGTCGACGACGACAGGCTTACACTTCAAAGAGATGTGGACTTTCGACTTTCTTCGAACTTTCGAATGCACTGGCCACAAAGAGACGAACAGAGTTGACGACGGCAGGACTTAGACTTCAAAGAAATATGGACTTCGACCTTCTTCGATCTTTAGAATGTCGGTCATAGAGAGAGGAAGAAAGGAAGAGTATGAACTAAACCCTAAAAATTGGGGTTGATTTTTTTAAAACTTTTTCCATTGGTATTGGGTCTAATTTTTTCCCCTTTTCCTTTAACTTCACACGGCAGGTTATCTACAATTTCTACACATGGGTCAAATCTCATTTAATTTTGGTACAATTTGTTCCATTATGACATGTCGGGTATTTAAGATTGGCTAGAGAGGCAAATATGTTTAAAATTGACATTCTTGCAATTTAAAAAAAAAAGTGACATATTTATAAATGCAAAGTTAAAAATTGACTATTTTGATAATTTAGACTACTTTTATTTTTGAGGTCAACTTTTAAGCTTACTCAAACGTGCATCAATACCAGTGCCCTAACTCTTCCGTATTTGGCGTTCAAAGTTCATCCTCTCCTCTGCAATTCGAAATTTCTCAACTTCATAAATAGGAACAGGCTTAGGGTGTTTCTTTTTCATTCTCTTTTCGCAATTTAATTGAATTCGATTTCACTGTCGATGGACAAATTCGATAGGCACAGAGGTGGAGAAAGATATAATAACAGCAACAATCAAGAATTTCATAACTATAGTAGTAGTAACAGACAGTCCCGAGGTCCTCCCTCCTCTCGATTCTCAGAAGGTGGCGGCGATGGTGAAGAAGGAGGTTACCGCGGTGGTGGAGGAAAGGACTATATTAGCGCGGGAAATTATCCGAGCGGCGGCGGGAGCGAAAGTCGCAGGCCGTTTGATAGTCCTCCGAGCTACCCTCATCCAGTAAGCGGTGATAGGGAATTTAGACCATTTGATGGTGGGGCCAATGGAGGATTCAGACGGGTTGGTGGTTTTGGTGTTGGACTTCGACCAATTGGTGGTGGTGGAGGGTTTCGATCTATGGGGGCTGGAGGAGGGTTTCGGCCAATGGGTAGTGGTGGTGATGGTGATGGTGGGGGGTTTGCTTCAAATAATCAACCGATGGCACCGTACACTATCTCTGGGCAAAAACGCGGGTATCCATTTTCTGGCAGAGAAAGGTCCCCAGGTATTTCTTGAGAGAACTTTTCCAATTTTTATGAAAGAGATAACTTTAGAAAAGTCAGTTTCTGAATTTGTGAGTTTTGGAGCTTTAGTTTTCCTCTCTGTGTTCCTATCTAGATGTTATTAGTTGTCTTCGTTTAACTGCATTTTGAATACTAGTCCTTGGTTGCTTTTGTTTTCTATAAGTAATTGCACTTAGGTTTGGTTTTGTATTCTTGTCGGGTGAAGTTTTGGTTCGTTAACTATGGCTAAAACTAACTGGAAAAGGGGCTCAGTATGCAGTCAACAAGAAACCATAACTATTTTTGTGATAGTATGCTGTCAACAAGAAACCATATCTATTTTTGTGATACACTTAGGGTATAATATGGCAAGATAGGTAGTAAGGTAGTTTGATTTGAAAAAGCTTGGTACCTGAGGCATCAATTAATTAAGATTTGACATACAGACCAAGGGATGGTTATCAGTTTGATGCAAATTTTAAGACTAAAGAACTTCCATCAGGTTTAGTTATTCTGGAAGAAAAGCCGGGAAAATTTGAGGAGGGAAAAAAAGAAGAACAAATTTATACCATGAGAATTTCCCTTGCTGCACTTGAAATTATTTCTCCTGGGTTTTCTTTTTTACTTTTATTTCTTCATTGAGAATCTTGACAGTATTATGCTTCTTGATTTTCTTGGTGTTATAACCACGAATATTTTAGGACATTATTTGGTAATAAGATGTCTACTTGACAGGCTACTTCATATTGTACTTTCGACATTCTCTGTACCATACGTGCTCTAAATATTATTTCTATGTTCATTAAACTGGAAATGAGTATGGAGCCATTATCTTCTAATGTGAAGCCTGATTATATGTGCTTGTCTTCATCTTGTCTTAATTTTATGTTCTTGCATTGATCATTATATATTTTACCTTCGTAGACCAATTGGATGGAACCCGTTTCGCAAAGCTTTTTGTCGGATCTGTTCCAAGGACTGCCACGGAAGAAGATGTAAGTTGGGTGTATTGATGAGATATCAGTTGATGATAAATGGAGATTCAGTTTTAAGAAATAACTTCTAATAGGATTCTTTTGTACTATTACTTTGTGTCCTTGTGTTCTATTGGATTCAGCGACGTAAATTCCATTGTTATAACAATTTCAGAAATATCTTGCTACTTCTTGTAGTTTATTAATAATGTTTCCTAGGTGCTTCTTGAAATGGAGCAAAAAATAGTGCAATACTTTAATAGCCTTTATTTCATTGAATCAAGCTTATGCATACTAACACTTACTTTCACGAAAATCTCAAGCTTTACTTGCTGAGTGTTTTTCAGTAACATGTAGACTTACCCAGTTAAGTTTATTAATAATATTTTGGTTAAATGATGTCAGATCCGACCCTTGTTTGAGGAACAAGGGAATGTTTTAGAGGTTGCTTTGATTAAGGATAAGAGAACTGGACAACAACAAGGTATGTGCAGATTCTGTGTTTTACTTGTTTTTGTGAGTATGTAAATGTCTTTTCAGGTATTTTGAGGGGGCTGAAGGGAGCAAATGTAAGCTTACGTGTCAAGTCATCTGTTTTCTCGAACCTATCTTTTCATTCATACCACCAACCAGGAGATGACGAGATTAAACATACTATAAATCATTACATGTATAGTAGTGGATGGTAGGAAGAAACCAATTCTCCTCCTGTACCTCTAGTTGTGGCGTTTAGTCAGTGACAATAATTATTTTGCTGATGAGTAGAAAGTCTGCTGTATGGAATTTGAGGCAAAAATACCCGGTTTGTCTCATGTATTGGTTTTTGAGTTTTCATGGAGGGTTCAATGCTTTTTCCTGTCCTGGTTATGTTTGAAAGGAAGTAGTTAAATTTTGGAAACTGTGATGTGCCTGAAAATGGATTATCAGCAAGTAAGGCTGATTTTTAATTTTGATTTCCCTGTGGTTTATACTTTTTCCATTGAAGCTATCGCGAAATTGCAAAACTGTCACTGTTTGAGTGATGATTGGTTTTCTTCATTGTTCAAGCTTAAGCAGTTGGCTTTAGTTGGTAATTTTTTGAGAACATGTCTTTGTTGGCTCAATTCATACTTTAGTTTTTGCATCATGATGCTTGCTTTATTTAATATTTAGAAAGATTAGTGTTTCGTTGTGATCTAATGTTTGTGTGCATTACGGTACCTTGACATCGTTTAGTTACTGATGACGAACTCTCGGGTGGCATATGGATGCAATGTGTTATGCTATTGCTTCTTTATGCTCCTATGTTCTTTACATACATTTAAATCTTTGAGATGGGTTAGCAATATGGTCTCTCTTTTAATGGGTTGTTAAGCTTGTATGCTGTTTCACTTTTAACTATCAATTATGATTCTTTAAATTCACTTGTTCCGCTGTAGTATATGCTTCTCATCCAAAAGCATAGCAATTTTGGGTTAACATATAAAGCAATATGATGGAATACGGTTTTGCAGAACCTTTTGGTTTGATGCTGAGAATATTACAGGTTTATCTATATTTTAGGTTGCTGTTGAATGTGATCTTGAACTTATTGGACAATTACAATGCTTTGAACTCAGAAATGTATGTTGTGCATGGGTTGCAATTTTTCTGTTGTTGGGCCAGCATAGGACTGGTGAAGGTTGCTCGTTGAAGCCCTAGTTTTTTGTTTGGAAAACAGCATTGTGTTTACGCTGCAATTTTTATTATATTCATCGCTGAAGTTAGGTTTTTTATGATTGCATTATGGGTTTTTATGTTAAACATTTGATGCCACGCACTTATTGACTGGATGTATTGCTAGTTCTTGGTTGATTCAATGATAGGGGGCTCCGTACATATTCCTCGTAGAATTAGTATCAAAGCTTCCAGGAGTTGGTTTTCCTGATATAACTGTTATGATTTACGTAGTTTATAACCAAAACCATGTAATCAATTATTATTTCTACAGTGTTATGATTTTGTTGGTTGGATGCAGCTTTGGTGGTGTAATGATGAAACTTGGAGTGATATGGATATCAGGACCACACACTTGGAATTTTGATTGTTGGAGCTTTTATATATTGTTGGGTATTTTTTGGTATTGTTCTTATCGTCATGCTGAAAAATATGCATGCAATAGGAGATTAAGCTGAATATTCATATGAACGTATGTTTTTGGCCAAATTAAGTTCGTTGCACACTTGAAATTCTATTGAACTAGGATCGGACATGGAAACTAGTATTAGTTTTCCATACTGTGGGTTTAATAATATAGTGGCGTTGGATACAATGACTCGTGAATTTCGACAGAAGCAACGTTTGTATGTTTGGTTTTCAATTTTGATGGTGTCTGGACCATTGATTACTATTTTCTTCTCTCTGTCTGTGTTCGTATATGATTGCAGATCTAGCTGAGTTATTGTATTATTTAAGTTTGAATACAGATATAAAGATTTGTCGCTGACTTAATTTCCCTTCCTGCTGTATTGGAAATGGTAAAGAAAGAAGCTACTTCTTTACATTGTACGGCTCTAAAATTTTGTTGGGCATATTTTGGATTTATCTTTATGGTCAATGGAGATCAACCGAGTAATTCTAACAAACACGTTATATGGATGAGATCAATTATTCGTGTGTTGGTATAGCACTCCATATGATGATATCATTAAAGGTGGACGTATCTGATTGAGATAGCTTTTAGACCGTACAGCTTATCATTTTTAATTTTGTAAACTGAGATGTAGTTGATGTACATCTCATCTCGTCTCATGCGCTATCTTCATATCTATTTTTCTTCCAAGTTTGATGTAGTCATTCTTCATCCTTATAGACAAATGTTGCTAGTTAGTTTTTAAACATGAGCACTTGATGATTTCTTCCTTGTAATAGCCATTTGTATCTTACTCAATCCAGTTGTCTCTTTTTACTCAACGTTTTACTTCTGTATTCGTTCATGGATGGAGGTGGCTTGTTGTTTGAATTGTATTTTTTTTTTTTTTTTAGTTTTGATGGGTGTGTGATATTATTATGTTTGTGTATTCTGGAGTAGGTGAATGGACCTTTTTTCTTATCAAGACAACAAATTCTATTGATCTCAAGTTTGTATGGGAAGGATAATGAGCAATTAACAAATTTTTATGGGGTGCTTTGCTTTCCTATTGTATTTCGTTGACTGTATGATTTAATATGTATAAAACCGTTTATGTTCCCAGGCTTCCTTAACTAAATTGTGATATTGTTAGTTGGTGATTCATCTATTCCCACATACAAATTCCATTTTCTTTTTTCCTGTTTTGCCAATCAATGTTAGTGAAGGCCGAGACATTTATTTATGTGGTGCAGTGCCCACATTATTTTGAACATTGGTTTTACTATAGTTCAGCCTCGTTTGTTCATGGACTACATGCAATATAGCACATATTTTTCAAGTGATTGGTCTAGTAATGGGCATACACGCTGCAGCTGTTTGTCGAATGTTTGTTGTCTTTTTGCCTTGAGGTCACACACCTCAATTGGTTTACTGTGTCTTGTTTCCGTGTATGTAGGATATCATACTAACATTTTATAAATCATGCTTTCCTTGAATCAACTTAACATCTCGGGAATTAGTCATCTAACTCTACTAATGGATTTTAAGACTGAGTAATTATGCTATTATTTTTCTTGTTGCACCATGTTCTTTGTTTTTTATTCTGACAGTTGGATGCGGTGTTCATGTCGCTTATACAGTAATAATGTTTGAGTTGGAAAATACGTTAAAGGCATAGAATATCTTGCCACGTGGTGAATATCACTGAGTTCTCTGTTGATGATTGTTGCATACCAGGAAAATTGATGATTATTTAATTTGATAATCATCTAATCATGCTCAAGGATAAGGAGTTTAAATTAGATTCTATTTTGCTTTAAGTAGTTTTTGGTACCAGCAGTCAGATGAGTTCTTCTTACATTTGTATCACTTGTACTATGAGGCTTATGTTGGTCGATATTAACAACGTTGAAGGTCTTGCTAGGTGGTGAATGACTGAATGTTTGTTTTTTTTTTCTTTTTTTTTTTTTTGGGATAGGGGTGAATGACTGAATGTTAGTGAGGAATTTTCTGTCAATGGCTTTGAAAACCGAAGAATAGTTAATGATTAGTCAATACGCTATGTTGGTAGCCCTCCTTTTGCTGCTGGTGATTAATGCATTTATGTTATGAAATTCCTTTTCTCCTTCCGCTATTCTGTTTCCTGTTTCCATTGCTTGCTCTTATGCTGTGATAGTGTAGTGCTGGTATTTGCTGTACAATAGCATTGGTCATTGGATCCTCTTAAATGAAGGATGGTATTATTTGAAGATCCAACACAGTTGAAACAGTGCAGTTTGTTTATTCAGAGATCATAAGCATCTATGAACACGTGATGTACTTATAAAAGTAATACTATTTTGAGCTTTAGCATAACTGTATCCATGTGTTATTCTCGGGTGAAGGTAGAGTATCTTGATAAAATCCGGAAACACACTTTTGACTTCTGCAGGGTGTTGCTTTGTTAAATATGCTACTTCAGAAGAAGCTGATAGAGCCATTAGAGCTTTGCATAACCAGTATACGTTACCTGGGGTGATTCTTCTCACTTCCTGCCTTGCTATACTAGTTGGCTCCCTATCTTTCTGGATTCTTTATCCATTTATAATTTTTACAGGGAGTTGGTCCTATCCAAGTCAGATATGCCGACGGGGAACGAGAACGGCTAGGTGATTTCTTATGATTTGCAGTAAATTCTAGATTTGTCAATTTATTTTTATTTTTTTCACACTTCAAGCTTCCTTTCACTCTTTTAGTTCCCTCTGTAGTGTTTCTTCTCCCTTTAACTTTTGGCTGCAAATTTTGTGGAAGATTAGCAGTTAAAGAGTTATTTACTTTCTATGAAGAGATGTTTATCTTCTTGCTCTTTTTCTTTTTCCCACCTATTGCAGGGGCGACCGAGTACAAGTTATTTGTTGGTTCTCTGAATAAACAAGCTACAGAGAAAGAAGTTGAAGAAGTATGCTCTATACACTTGTTTGAGCTTGCTTATCCCTTCTTACCTTCTATGATCTTATGGTATTGATAGCTAACTGCCTGCAACTATATGAAATGTAAAGCTAGTGCCTACCTCTTTATAAGCATTTCCCCTTTCCCATCGATATACCACCTCCATCTAGAATTGATTGTCTTTATTTGAATAGACATTGAATTTTAAGTGATGGATGGAAAATTTATTACTTTTGGTAACTTTTTATCTTTATACTTGGACTAGTGTCCTCTTCAGTTGTTCTGATCACAAGACATGGGTGCCCCTACTAGTAAGAGCACATCAACCACAATCTCAAATAGCATTTTCGTATGGAAAGATCCTACATGAAATTTGCTTTTCAAAATCATTTCTTTCTCCCATAAACATTTGATTAAGTTCACCAATGAGATTCTTGGTTGAGACGGTTCTCTCATTTTAGGTTCGGTCATTTTCGTAGTTTTGTTTGGTATTCCCAACTTTTGTGAAGCTTCCTACATTTTTTTCATACAAATCAATAAGTTCCCACACACGGAAGGGAGAACTGTATCTTGTGGATCCCGGGGGATGTTTTTTGTTCCATGCCCTATATGCATTTTTATCCACCTGTGCGTGATGGCTAGAAGGTGCTTTTTCGGGCTTGGTTACTGTAAGTTTGTAAAGACATGCCCTATCTGGGAAGAAAAGGAAAACGGTGACATAAGTGAATACTTCTTTGTTTACATTAGAATGATTGGTTGTCCATTTTCATTCCTTTCCTGCTAAATAGTATTTCCTCTGCGATCTCTTGAAGAGAAGTCTTGATCCTGAATTTTTACCTCTAGTTGTTTCTGCCGGTCCGAAGAGTGCTTTTACCATTCTTAGAGACATCCAATGGTCACCAAAACGAGTTTCACATAAAAGTACACATTTTTGCAGGGTGCTTGTTGAAAGAAATATCTATTTTAGGAGGTGAGGACTTTAATCTTAGACAACCCAAAAAGGAAATAAGGCCACTCAATTCTGGATGAAGTATTTTCCAAGGAGGGGGGAGGGGGCTGATTATTACTGAACACTGCATTAGGAGGATTGGAGATGTGCAGCAGGCATATAGAACTTATTTATCTGCAACTCATGTGTTTCAGCTAGAAAACTTATAAAGGCCATTGAGAATTTATTCTTACCATTATTTTATTGTCATCTATTTGGTGTCTCAACAATGGAATTTTTGTCATTCATAATTTTACCTGTTAATTTTTAGCTTCGCTTTAGTTTATTGGAACCTTCTTTTTTTTTTGAAGTAGCATTTATACTGATTCTAAGAGCATCTGAACTCTTTAAAAGGGAGCATTTGAACTCTTTAAAAGGGAGATGCTCTTTATTTTAAAGAGCCAAACCTTAAAATTAGGCTCCAAGGGACTCTTTAATTTAACTTTGTGGAGAGCCAAACTCACTCTCTATTTGTATTTTATCAAGATTGCATTTATTAAAATTGCAAGTTTCAACATTCCACTATTTGAATTATTCGAATTATATATTAAATATTTTAGCTTTTAACATCTAAAACAATATATTAGTTGAAAAATGAAGGAAAAAAGAACGAATGTTGGGAAAAGTAAAATAAAGAGCAAAATTGAAGAGTTTGTTTGAACGTTGACTCTTAAAATTGTGAAGATGCTCCCTATTATGACCAAGATGCTCTTTAAAAATAAAGAGCCTTGTAGATGCTCTAATACTGGTTTTTACTTTTCCAGATCTTTTTGCCCTATGGTAGAGTTGAAGATGTCTATCTTATGCGAGATGAAATGAGGCAGAGTCGTGGTATGTCTTGCATTTTCTGATATCATGTTCTAACTCAAAATTTTAAAGTCAGCCTCCCACACATAATTAGTGTTCATTCAGAATTTAGCTCTGGAAAGATTTTTATCATCTGGTGAATTCTCACTTTGCTGCAGCAGGATGTCTGAACTATTTTCTTTGATGGTATTTCACTTTTGACATTTGTTAATTTTCTGGTTCCCCCAACTTGTACTATAAAATTGTTGGAAGGATGTGGGTTTGTCAAATATGCTCATAGAGAGATGGCACAGGCGGCAATTAATTCTCTCAATGGAATATATACAATGAGAGTAAGATCACTTCATTTTCCTAGTGGTGCTTTGTTTTGGGTCTTGTCGCAAAGTCAGTGACTTATTACTCCATTTTCCGTCGTAGGGGTCTGACCAGCCATTGACTGTTCGTTTTGCTGATCCTAAGAGACCTAGACCTGGAGAATCAAGGTTTTGCTCGTGCTTTTTGATGTTTATTTCATTGTGGCTATTTGCATTTATGTTTTAGCTCTATGTTTACAAGGGCGTTGTCCATGTCTTTAGACTGTTATGCAAATTTTTCCAGTCAGAAATGACGATTTGACTTCTTGTTCATAAATTTTGATTTTTAACTAAGCCCTTTATGAATATGGATATATTTCTTCCAACATAGTTGATACCTTTTGATGGTGCGCACAGATTGTTCTTGGCTTACACCGTAACTCCTATTCAGAGTTCTATTCTTT